AGATAATCTGTTATAATTAGGAAGTTATCAAATTTTTTGTTTGTCTATGTTGTTAGCTTAAAATTTGTAGACGTACTTGTAAGTCTATGATATAATTTTTGGTTTAACTATATTGTTTGCTAATAATTGTAGATGTACTTGTAAGTCTATTTTATAATTTTATCAAACATGAAATTTTTGTTTGCTAATTATGTAAACCATTTTTTTTTGCAGGAGATGGCTCAATTACTCGTTGTATAGAGAGAATGGGTGGTGAAAAACTCTAGATGTGTTAGTGTTATGTGTCGAACTTATGAGTTATCTTATTGCTATGGATGTTCTATTATGTATTAGTGTCTCATTGCTTTGAGTTGTCATCTATTGGATTTATAAGTCTTTAGTCCGTGTTGAACTTATAAACTATATTGTTACTTTGGATGTTGTCTAATGTGATAAACTTATATTATATTTTTCTCTGTTAAGTAGACTTTTTTGTAAGTCTACAAAAAAGAAGACTAATAAATATCAAGAATGGTCTGTCAAGTAGACTTATATACTTGACTCTATACTTGACAAGAAGCAGTGGGATAACCAATAAAAAAATTTAATAAGAGCATGATTATCCTACAACCCCATTTTGGATCTCTAACTGAAGTTTCAAACAAAATTGAAGTTCCATCTTCTTCACTGATCCCCACATTCCTCTTCTCACTCCAAGCTTTTCAATCTCCCCATCATCTGGCACCACGTTGACGTCTGTATATAGGCTCCTCCAACCTTTGTAGAGGTTTCAGGTGCAACTCCACCCTAATCATAAGTGGAAAAAATCATATATAAGTCTCCGAACCATAATCATACATATATATATCATAAAAAATTTAAAAATATACCTCAAGAAATTCAACAAGATCTTTGAACAAACTTCATTGTGCGTTGAGATCTTTGTTAGCACAACCTTTACCACCTGCCTCTGCAGCGAGGTCACTAAATTGATTATGACTTTAGATATCAATTTATGCATCTTTATCAATGCCTCCTCAGACACACTTCCTACTTCCACTGATCCATTATCAGACCCTTTGGCTTCCGTATCAAACTTCTCTAGAGTTCCCGTCTCAAATAAAAGAGCAAGAGCTTCACCAGCAGCTATACGCCCAAGAAGAGACAACAGTTGTTATTACATCAGGTGAAGGTTTGGTTGCAACAACCTACACAAAAAGTCAAGTTACATGTTAGCCTACTACATATCTTTAGATTAAATGAACTACTTTCTTAATAAACCAATTAGAAATTAAAAATGCCATATTATGAGAAAAAGAGTAAGATACATACATTAGAAACAAGTTTAGGGTGAATCATCTGCCATATTATTTGCATAGATCTCTCGGTTTGCTCTGCATTGGCTCCACCAACAAAAGTTATCACTGCTAAACACTCAAGAATCTACAACGAAGTGGCAGGATATCAGCAAGCATATAGAATTTTTTTAACAGAATAAATAGCTACACTTTTATGGAATCATCCATACCGAACTTATCCTCAAGGCTTCACGACCAGATTTAAGGGCTTGAGAAAGAGGAGTGGCAGATTCTTCCAGAATCTCTTGTGCTTGATTCCCAAGTCCAACAGTCAAAGCTATCAACCCTGTAAACGCAACAATAACTGTTAGTATATAGCTCAATAAAAAAAAAGTTGAAAGATGATGCATAAGTTGATTGTTTCTTGGTAACTAACCAATAACATGTGATGCTAGTGAGGACTCTTTAGTGGAACCTTTCTTGATGCAGTGTAAACACTGATGCAACAAAGTGGAAAAGCTGCAACAACGTTGAGAATATACATTAGATAACAATCAGGTGTCACACCAATACATAGGAATTAACTAAGATTGTTGAAGAAGAAATAGAGTATGAGATGGTTACTTCTTTTGCAAGAACTCATGTTGCAAATCACTCTTGAATGCTTCGACAATGGAGGCCAAAGCTTTCTCTCTCGTTGAACTCCTTTACATCCATAAAGAAATTCAAATACCATCAGTTTCACATAAAAATCAAGTAAAATCACAACAAAACAAAAAGTGATGGCGAGAAGGAACCCTACCTTTTCTCATAGAGAGCATCAAGGGATTGATCCAACATAAGATCTTTGTGAACGTGAACTTCATCCATGCGAGGTCTCTCAGACCGCATGCTGAAGAAGGAGCTTACACTACACGTATCATCGCTATCAAACAAATCCATCGGGGCATTCTTAGGCTGAGCTTCTGCAATATTAAGTGAATCTTAGTTTCTTGTATTAAAAGATTATAACTTCTCAGCCAATAAAAGAAACCAAACTAGTAATAGAACTTAACAATTTGTAAAGCACTAAGGAAAACAATTCCTAAGTATTAAATTGAACCTAAAACAAAGAGATTCAGGTGAGACATAACTAAACTCGAATCCATAAAGAATCAAGAACAGGAAGCTTACTCTTAGGCATGGTTTCTTATAATCAAAATCGAAATCAACTACCAAAGGAGTGGAAGGAATTATGGAGCTTCAAAGTTTTTCCAGGTCGTTATTGATTCTCAAAACACAAGTGTCTCTCCTCACATGTGTCTCTCCTCACCTTCCCTAACCTCAGTGAGAGAGAGAGAGAGAGAGAGAGAGAGAGAGAGAGAGAGAGAAAGGCAGCTTTTTTTGTCGCCTTTTTTTTAATAAGAAAGATTATTTATATGTCAAGTCATTTTCTGGTTAGGTTAAAACTCTTTGGTTTAATTTTGGTTTGGTTAAAATTATTTTGGTGAAAACTTTAGGTTAGGTAGACTTTCAAAGAAGTCTACTATAATATTTTTCTTTATTTTTAAATAGTTTATAATATATAATCTAAAAAAAATTCTTTTCATTATATATTTAGTAGACTTAGTATATATTTTTGGTTGATAAAATTTTAATTCATAAATAAATAAATTTAATTTTAAAATATATTTTTTTTGTAATCACCAATTATAGTAGACTAAAAGAGACGTCTACTATCGAAGTAGACTTTACCGTAAGTATTGGCGCCAATAGGGAAAATAGGGTCCAAAATTCATTTTCGCTTCCCGCTTAGTTAATCTTAATTTTAAATTTTTTTTTTTGATAAACACCAATTAATGTAGACTGAAATAGACGTCTACATATAAGTAGGCTTTACTGTAAGTCTACTATACCCTAAATATTGGCGCCAATATGAAAAAATAGGCCCCAAAATTCATTTTCATTTCCCGGTTAGTTAATTTTAATTTTAAAATAATTTATTTTGGTAAACACAAATTAACGTAGACTGAAATAGACGTCTACATATAAGTAGACTTAACTGTAAGTCTACTATACCCTAAACCAGAAATCTCAAACCCTAAACCCTAAATCTCAAACCCTAAACCCTAAATCTCAAACCCCTAAACGTTTGATTGATTATAAAAAAAAATCTTAGTCATTGTACCAAATATCATATATACAAAATATAAACTACTCAACATTAAATATGCAATTTTGAATCATTAAAACAAAATAATTCTAAATCTAGAATCTAACCCTAAGAATCTAACTCTAAAAGACATAACATGTTGGTTGCTAAACCATTAACATTGTCTACCACATAGTTCCCAAACCAATATACATTCTTTTAAATTATTCAATTATATGAAAATTTAATTTATATACCTCATACTAACCTTTAAATTAATGATTTATTAAAAAAAATACCAAAAACATTTTTTCTACATTTTTAAAATTAAATTATTTAATTAAATTAAAATGTAGACTAAATAATAAGTCTACATTAGTCTATACAGTAGACGTTAATGTAAGTTTGCCTAATTGTAGACTTCTTTCTTAAAGTGTAGACCTACGAATGACAGAATCGTAAAATATATTCCACGTTTTTTGTTTGTTCATAAGGGTTAAATAGTAATTTTAACACCCATTTAGGTTGGGTTTGTAATTGATTGAATATGGGGTACACCTTTAGGGTTAAACTGAATATTTGGGTTGGTTTTGGAAATTCTCCCGATATTTAAATCATTGATAACAAAAATTTTCAATGTGAAAAATTTAATAAGCTTATAATTTATAAATGTTCTTGAAAATTCATTAAATTTTTTGAAATTACAATAATTATGTAATCTTATATGGTATATAATTTAATCAATATATAAATATATATATATATATATATATATTTTTTTTTTGTTTTATTATTGAATGATACTTTTTACTCATACAGTTTTAAAATCATGTGTATCTTTTATAATAAAAATGTTAAACTATTGATCATTAATTTTTAACATAATAACTTTAATAGTTTTGGTCATTTATTATCGTTTTTTTAAATTTAAAATATAACATATACGAAAAAATCTAAAGTTTAATTTTATAGCTAATTTGATTGTTCAATTTATTTTAATAATATAAAATTAAAGAAAAATGATGGAGGAGATATAAATTGTTATCAAATATTTATTATTAGAAACATTGATTGTCATATATATATATTAGTCATTTATGGTAATTCCGTAGGTTTTATTTAAGAAAATAAAATAGTAATTATATCTAGTGGAACAATCATAAATGCTTCTATCATAAATATCATATCATATCATCATATCATATAGTTTGATTAACAAATGTATCTAGTGACATATAAAAATCGAATGTGGACCTACTTATTTTTCAATTGAATGTAATTGACTACCTAATTGAGTGACACCTAAGCATGGGCTCTTTTTTAATTATTACAAAATTGATGTTACAATTTTTCAAAATTTTCTCTTTTAATATATAGGGGATATAGTAAGACATGGTTATCTTTTTAAATCATTGTAGAGCTCCTAAAATCATATAATGCATTACTATGAATGTGTAAAAAAAATATCATGCATTACTATGAAAACCATATGAACGTAGCTTTGTAAAGCAAATATTCCAATTTTATATTTTTGATATATGTATGACTATGAAAAACTAAATTAGTGAACCATACTACATTTATATAGTTTCTTGAGTCCAAATTTTGTGATCTATAACTATAACTAGATCTTGACCCGCGCACCGGCGCTGGTTTAACTTAATTTGGAAAACCATTATATATTCATAAGTCATCGGTTATTACCGTATTTCAAAAACTATGATCGTATTGAATGTAATAGGACTGGAGTTTGATTTTGGGTTCAACTTTTGTTGGATTCTTTATGTTCGTAGTTTTTTTTTTAATTCTACAGATATAAGATCTGTTCTGTTATCTATATAAATTGATTTTTGTCCGGTTCGATTCTTTTGGTTTGAGCTGAGTTTGGTAATAATTATAATAACCGACTAATATTAGATAAATATTTGGTTCCAATATGATAACGGTTTGGTTACGATTTCTAAGATTAATTTTAGATTAATCGGGGTAAAACTGATTTTGGGGGGGAGATAGGTGTTTCGGATAAATATCGAGTTACGAAAATAAAATTTTAATATTTTAGTTAAAACTATTCAAATATTCTGTGTCTTTATGATAATATGAATAATGTAAAATACTTTAGATAAAATATATTTGAGTATTAAATTATTTGAAATGTAAATTGTTATTATCTTAAAAACTGATGTTATTTTTAATTTAGTCAACAATAAATAAAATTGAATATGGTCTTTATATAAAATATAAACTAAAAACACAAATTACTACAATGGGCCAAATGATTAAAGCCAACCATAAAATAAAATAAATTAAACAAAAGTCCAATTCTATTATAACAATGTTTAAAAGCCCAACTCTAAACTTATAGCCAAACAACATTAAATTCTTTATTACTACTATTTAAGTTTCCAAACAAACCTAAAGAGTACTACAACTTTAATAAGATAGATGTCGTCTCCATATAAAGTAGAAAATAATAAAAAACACTACTAACACAATTGTTTAATTGGACGTATTCAGAATGAATATAGCCTACCAAAGAAAGATGTGAATATTTGCGGTACTTTAATTGATTATGCTTCAGAATGAATATAGTTGAATTTGCCCTATATAAAATTATGAATCTTATCAGGTCTATTAAGCCCATTAGAAAGCTTTCATTCATCAGGTCTATTAAGATTGATAATTGATATTCCGTCATTCATCCTTGAGATAAATTGATTAGGTATTTGGTGGAATACATTCTCTCATTTCAAGAGTCTTCTTCTATTGCATTTTCTACTTTGCTTTTGCATAAATTTCCTCACTCCCATCTAAGCTAACAACACATTTATCAACAAGAATTCTTATGAGACAATGAAACAAAAACATATTGTTTTTCCGCTTTGTAGTACATACCTTGTGCATTTCTTCTTTATCGAGTGTCCAAAGTATTTGGCTTGGTTCTTTCATGTAATGAAAATTTAGTGTAGAAGACTACGAGGCCTTAAAGTAAAAGACTCAAGTCTAGCTTCTATCTCCAAAATGAGAAGCTAAATAGTACATAGCTAGTGTTGTGCCTTGCCCATGTTCTTCCATTTTTTCTTCAGATCAGTTGGAGTACGTGATTGGTGGAAAACATCCTTTCCCATTGCAATAATCTTCCTCCATGGCATGTTCTTCCTTACTTTTGATGTAAATTTATTCACTCCCATCTAAGCCAATAACATATATAACAACAAGGAGTTCTTAAGAGACAGAAACACAAACAGATTAATGCTTCTAATTAAGTACATACCATGAGCATTTCTTCTTCTTGGGGGATCCAAAATCTCCTTCCCTGATTCTTCTTAAAGAGGGGCGTCCAAAGTCTCCTTCTCCGCTTTCCCTAAATGATCAAGGGTTCGCGAACTTAAAAAACCATGATAAAATTGAGAAATTGCTTCAGAAAATTTATTAGACATAGAGAAAGCATAAGAAATTACTATTATAAACCAAATATTGTTTGGTTGTCGCTACAGGGAGGTCATGCTGATGATAGTTATGCACAACTTTTCATGGTAATTTTAAAATCACCACTCTATATCTAAACACATATGAATAGGATAAGCTATGCCTGAGAAATTTTAATACGTTGATAATTATATCAAGGAGACATCCAAAACGATTGTTGCAAGAAATTTATGTTATCGTCTCAATATAAGAGATCTTTTTTATTCGAACATACTTCTGACATTCATTTAGGAGATAATGACTCTATTTTTTATCTTGGATAATCTCATCTTTGCAAAGGTTTTGCTTTCGAGCTCCATATTGCTTTCTCCTCCTTCATCTC